GGGGGGGGGGGGGGGGGGGGAAGCAACTGCACAGGTTGCAAAAGAATCCGCGTAGACTCATCAGCAGCAGCAGCAGCAAGGGCAGCAGCAGCAGCAAGGGTAGCAGCAGCAGCAGCAGCAGCAGCAGCAGCATGCCTACCTGCCAACCAACAGAGGGTACAGAGACATGACGTGGATGTAGGAGATCAAGACATAAGGAAGCAAATCCTCTTGCTGCTGCTGCTGCTGCATCTGCTGCTATTGCTGCTGCTGCTGCTGCTGTTGTTGCAGGTGCAACAAGAGGCTCTGGCAGCCATGATAGATCAGGTGGCTCTTTCTTCTTGCTAGCTGCTGCTCCTGCTGCTGCTGCTGCTGCTGCAGGAGAGGAAGAGGATACAGCAGCATTACATACATCTGTACTTCTTCCTATTATGTACAAAGTACCATCAGAATCTGCACACACAAGCCATATGCATGCATGCATGCATGCATGCTGCTGCTGCTGCTGCTGCTGCTTCTGCTTGTGTGTCGGCTATAGCAGCAGCAGCAGCATTTGCTGCTGCTGCTGCTGCTGCAGTATGTGCTTCTGTTGCTGCTGCAGCAAGGATGCCTTACCAGCAAATCCTGAGCGCAGCAGCTCGACCTCGCAGCCCCTAGCAGCAGAGGAGAGCAGCAGCACAGCGGCAGCAGCAGCAAAGAAGCACAGGGCTACAGCTGGCAGCGGCAGCAGCACAGCAGCAAGGAGCAGCAGCAGCAGCAACGGGGTGGCTAGCAATAACCATGAAGGATAATGTAGGCCTGAAACAGCAGCACCGAATCGTTCAGTTGCTGCTGTTGCTGCTGCTGCTGCTGCTGCTGGTGTATCATCATCATCTGCTGCTGCAGCAGCAGCAGCAGCAGCAGCAAACCACCGCAGCAGAGGGGAAGGAAGCATAACATGTGTCCTGTCTCCTTCAAATATTGCTGTGTCTATTGGCTGTACTAATCGCCATTTGCCTATAGATATAGGCAGCAGCAATTGCTGCAGCAGCAGCAGCTGCTGCTGCTGCTCCTCGCTGCACACAGCTGTACCCCATGGGGTGTACAGACACTCCGGGCACATCAGCAACCGCGCAACCACCTCCTGCAGCACAACCATCACAGCAGCAGCAGCAGCAACAACAACAACAACAACAACAGCACCTTGCTTCTCTTGTCTATAGACACCACGACAGCAGCAGCAACAACAACATCTGCAGCAGCAGCAGCAAGTGCAGCAGCAGCTGCAGCTGCTGCTACTGTTAAATATTACTTCTTACCTGTGGTGCATCTACTTGGGTCTGAGCAGCAAAACGAATAGGGCCCCTCATGTCCCTCCATATACACCCCAAACTGCTGCAGTGTAGCTGCTGCCAACCCCTATAAAACAGCAGCAGCAGCAGCAGCAGCAGCAGCACAAACAGCAGCAGCAGCAGCAACAGAGAAGAGAATAGGAGAACGCAACTGGGGAAAATATATCTTTTCTATTGTAACTGCCTAAGGTCGGTATTCAAAGTTTCTTAGCTCCTAAACCCTAAACCCTAAACCCTAAACCCTAAACCCTAAACCCTAAACCCTAAACCCTTACTGTGCTCCACTCTTTAGATCTTCAAAGTCTTTAATTAATTGTGGCAAAATAATTTTAATAACAGGAGGGAAACGAAGAGATCTTTGTATTGCTGCTCGCCATTCATTGGGGTGTACATACACCTCAGGAGGTGAGGAACCAGGTAGTATAGGGATCTCATCTCCTGCTGCTGCTGCTGCTGCTGATGTATCTGTTTCTCCTGATCCTGCTGCTATTATTGCTGCTGCTGCTGCTGCTCCTCCTCCTCCCCCTGCTGCTGCTGCTGCTGCTGCTGTAATACCTGGTGGGTGTATTGGATTAATAAGACGTAATAAAGGAAGAGGTAAGAAAGGAAAAGGAGGAAAAAAAGGAGGTAATTGTAGGGGAGGAGGAGTTGCATTGCATGCATCTGCTGCTGCTCTTATTGCTGCTAACCTATAAATAAATAAATAAAATAAAATAAATAAATAAAATAAATAAATAAAATAAATAAAATATATAAATAAATAATATAAATATA